CGTCAACAGCGAAGTTGAAGAGGAAAGGTGACAGCGGGCATCCTTGTCTTACACCGCTGGAGATATTAAAGGGCGACGACAACTTGCCGTAAGCCCTCACTCTGCCCGAGCTACGCGCATATAATGCTGGGATAATATTTGCATATTTCTCAGGTACACCTTTCCTGAGTAGACAGTCCCAAAGTGCAAGTCTATCAACCGAATCGAATGCACCTTTGATATCGAGGAACACGACAATGGTGGGCCGCCAATATATGTGACGGTGCTCCAACAACTGACGCAAGGTGAAGATGTGATCAATGTAGCCACGACCTCGACGAAACGCGGCATGCTCTCCACGAATCTGGCTTTCACGAGTGCCAGTCAGTCTGTGAATGATGACAGAGGCAAACAATTTGGAAGCGATGGAGATCAGACTGATTCCTCTATGGTTGCCGCATTCCGATCGTGAGCCTCCCTTGAAAATTGGGACTACGACGGAGCGGCTCCAGTCGGCTGGGACAGTTTACTGCTCCCACAGTTTCACTAGTGACTCATGTAAATTATTCACAAGAGCAGATCCCCCGAATTTGAAGAGGGCTGGAGGAAGATCATCAGGTCCCGCGGCCTTATTTAACTTCAACAGTCCGATCTCACGTTCGACTTCTGAGTGAGAGGGTGGATCCAAAGGGACAGCCCAGGGAGCGGGGCGATCAGTGGTCGGTGAGAAATCTAACAATTCCGACCGATTAAATTGCCTTTCAAAGCGCTCAGCCCAACGCTCCAAGCGTTTTGACAAGTTGTGGATAGGCTGTCCACTCTCGTCACAAATTGTTTCACTAACACATGGTCCTCTGCTGCCCGATTCCAGTATCAGCCGGAATAACTTACGATGGTTACCAAGGGTAGCGGCCATTTCCATCTCTGATGCACGAAGAGACCACCAGGATTCGCGGTCTCTCTTCAGGCTAGCACGGAGTTTTGCCCGGAGCTCTTTGTGGGTTTCATTGTGTTCGCTTCCAGCCGGAATATGCCGGCGAGCATCTATAAGTTCCAGAGACTGAAGAGACCCAATGTCCATGTTGGCGATTAGACATACCACATGAGGATTTTCCTGCTGCCAGTAAGGTCTGGTGAATATGAGACCAGGGAGCTTCAATTGCATCCAGTGAGCGTTTATCCAACTCGCATGACAGCGTACTTTGATACGCATTCAGAACAGTTGGCTGGTGTCAATGCGCTCACAACGTCGTCGTGGGCGTCCACCAAAACGCATCCGCATGTTAGCACATACAAGTGCATGGTCGGTGTCCACACCTGTGCTCCAAATGGAGCGACAGTTCTGGACGCAGCCTCTTCATCAGTAACTTATCGCAATGTGATCGATTTGCGTCCATAGCTGTTTCGAGGCTGGTGGGCGCCAAGTCACCCTCCGGCGGGTACTGTGTTGGAAATTAGTGCTCGCAAGAAATAAGCGAGTATCCTCACACAAATGTATTAACCGCTCACCGTTATCATTACGGGAGCCTACACCATGTTGGCCGCCCAGATGCAACTAATCTGTGGATAACTTTCCAACTTGAGCGTTCAGATCCCCCGCCAGCACAACAGTGTCCGAGTTTCTTCTGTGGCTAAGGAGCTCGTTAAGTTGACGATAGAAGTCGTCTTTTACCGAATCATCGCTACAGTTTGTCGGTGCATAGACAGCGATAACGAATAGACACCTGTTAATTCCACGTGACTTCGAAGTTTTGAACGAGCCAGCCAATCGGACCGCACACATCCGGCTGCTGATTGGAATCCAATCAACCAGAACAGTTTCAGCCCGGGGACTCAGGCCAATACCAACACCAACTTGGCCGGTGCTCGAAGCTGCATCGTCACCGGATAGGCGCAATGAGGAAGTGCTGCTAGTGTCACCTGAAGGGGATCGCAGAGTGAACACAGAGCTCGAGTCTTGTAGACGGGTCTCCGATAAGCAGCAGATATCGATCGAGAGGGTCTCTAATGTTCGGGCAAGTGCTGCCTGTTGACCGACCTGAAGCAATGTGCGAACATTGAGGCATGCCAGTCTGAAGAAGGATCGAGGGCTCCAAATGGAAGCTGATGAACTGGACTTGACCGCTTGTTTGGACATGGGCCTGTTGACAGGGCAGGAATGACGCTCCGCGTTCACATGTGAGTTGAAATTAGAAGATAAATACCTATTAAAGCATGTTGGGGGAGGGCCAAGAATCGGGGGGTTGAAAACAGGGGGATAAAAGTGGAGTTGGAACTGGTCGATAAGGGTGAAAAAGCGTGAGAGAAGGGAATAAGAAGACGGGATGGCTTGAGCAGTAGCATCCAAACCCCTATCCACCCTGCTCGATGCAGCGGATAGGGCACCGTTGATTATCCTCTGCGGTGGCCAGGGCATCAGAAATTTGTTTGAAGAGTGATTCATTGTATTGCATGGGCAGGATACTGTCAGGTTGCCCAGGCCTAGACAGGAGAACGATTAGGGTTCTCAACCAAAGCCTTTGGTTCAAAAACCTGACCGCAAGACAGGGGGTTTGGCGTTGGGCTACAAGGAGTCCGTTTTAAGGAATAAGGTGCCACTCTCATTCCAGCCCCCAACCTGGAGGACCAGGAGGCTGAGTTTGTCTGACCTCTAACCATCGATCAATCTGGTATTAGTGGCTCTGAAGGTGCAAAAGCACCACCCAGCATAGCTCAATGGATCACTGAGGCACACATACCATCGCGCCACGGTAAGGTCCAGCCTCATTGCGATGGATAGTTCTTTCGCATGTTTGTCGATTGCTTAGCTCGTTATTTCTTTTGGAAATACGACGCTTATATAATGGAAGAAGGAAGCATCATTAGTATGCCGACACACTGTACTGACGCTTCACGGCCGCGCAACCACCACCAATCGCGCACGGGTTGAACACAGCACGCGTTCACCCGCAGCTACGTAGTTTCGGACCAGTGGTCTTCGGGTCACAAGGCGGACGCCTCATCCCTTCAGCCACCGCCCAACACATCTCCAGCGTCACCATTTGCTATATATTGGGATTGTGCGCGATTAAAATGTTTGGCCTACCATCTTATATCTCTCTGGGACGTCTCTGAGAAAGGCACTCGGTGTCTCCACCGCGGTTGCGCCAGCGAGGCACAATTCTCAAGTCGGCGACTCGCTTGTGTTAACTCTTCACACGCACTCTCTCTAGATCCCTTCGACCGCATATGTTGGGTTTTTCTTATTTTTCTATCTTGTTACTGGTTTTCCAGATATTTGGTGCTTGGCTCACTTTTGATAGGTTGGACTTTATTGACTAGTATGATAACCTCCACTTCATTGCTGCGAATGTGACATAGTTTACCTTTCATAATGTTGGACTAGCATTTTCCCGTTACCGACCTCTTCCTTCGGCGGTTTCTGAGCTCCGATCAGACAGTTTTTAATGCTGGTATAATTCGGGGTCATCTGGCCTATAAACTACTTAGGAAAAACATAATGGTAAGAATTCGAAATGGGAGAACAGATTCTACAGGTTTCACCAACGTGGGATATGTCGCAATCCCGTGCTGCTATCTCCGTCCTGCCAAGGGCATTATTACTTGCGTATTTTTGAAATATGTGAGCCATGACTCAATACCAACGATTATTTGACTCGTGCGGCCTTGCAGTCTTCAGAGCTTGCTGCCATTGCATTGCTCTTCATTGTTGCGCTGCCTTATTGTTTTTGTTTATCGTCACACCACATCGTCAGTATGCCATTGATAACTGACTCACGTGATCCATTCACTATTCACTGCTTAGAGATGGCGAGGCATTGAATCCCAGATCATCGTTGTCTTCTAAGAAGCGCTATTCAATATCGACCTCCGATCCACCTCCTTTCTGGTGCTCACCATCATAACTGATACGACTTAGGGCGTCAGCGCGACATCACCCTCACCCTGAATGGTAGAGTGTGCAATGCAACTGTCCGTTCAACTCTCCTTTACTGTTGTGAAACCTGGCCCATTAGATCGACAGACATAAGGAGGCTAGTTGCGTTCGATCACCGCTGCCTTCGCCGTTTAGCTCATATCTGGTGGGAACACCGCGCGAGAAACGAGCACCTTCGACTCCTTGTTTTTGGCACAGGAAGAGGAGAGGAACCGTTTAGCACCGTTAATTCACTCACTATGCTCCGATGGCTTGGCCACTTGTTGCGCAAGCCAGCACGCGGACTCCCGCGACGTGTGTTGTGTGCGCGCCGGGGGTGTGGTTAGAAGAGGACGGGTGGCTAAGCGATGAGTTGGTCCAGAGGAATACAGGCCCTCATTTCGAAACTGGCTTCGATTGGAGCGTCTTGGCACCTTGGTTGGGGTCGAAACTAGATGAACACGTTTGGCTGGACACACTGGTTGACATGGCTAGGAGCCAACCTGGGTGGTGTTTGTGTTATGCGTTTCTTTGTCCCTCCACATCACTTAGTTTCTCTCTCCATCCGCGATCTCATTTCTTAGCAAAATATAGATTATGTATGATTACTTTTTTGCTGCATAGTAGCCGGCTGGTGACTTTTTAGAACAATGCTTTTTCGTTATTGGTAGCTCAGCTGGCGTGCACCTGTTGTTTTTTTCTTATGTATTGCAGCACAGCAGCTGAGGTATTTTTCTTGTTTAGCTAACGTATATAATGTATACTGATAATGAGGTGACTGGGTGACTGGTAATATGCTTAGCCCACGTGCTACTGGTGGTGGTTGCGTGACAGCGAAGCATCGATACTGCGTACCGACATAATGCTGACGCCCGCAAAACAGCAGTACCATCACTGCGTTGCTGTTTCTTGTGCATTATCTTCGTTGAAATATTGCTCATTGCGCTCCATATTTATGTCGGCAACAGTGGCGATAACACTGCATGCCCTAATTTCTTAATCTCATGTTAGTCTCACTTAGCTTTAGTAACCGCTAGCTCTTGTTTGCTGTTAATGCTTCATTTCTGATATTGGTTGCTTTCACTTCTCCCGGTTTATACCATAGGTTGTGCAGCCTCAGTTTAGCACAGATTATTTTGGATCGACCACTGGAACCTGACAGTCCGAACGCGAACTTCTTCGTCGCAGTCCGAATGCGTGGCTCTGGACGGCGAGTTCTACGTTCCCCGGAGATTACCGTGGCTCCTCCAAAAGCGGCTAGTCCTGTAAACGGACTGGCAACTCCCGGATTCGTGTATTCCATGTCCGATTCCAGTGCTTTACCCTCCAGCGGAGCGTCTGCTGGTGCTGCGGGTTCTGTTTTGATTGATTTCAACTGCAGTATTCAGTATTCCCACCTGTTGAATCGGGATGCAAACGTGCTACAAATATTGCTACAGCGGCGAAAGAAATACAAGAACAAGACCATGAATTTCGGATACAAGACGCTTGCCTATTGTAACGTCAATCTCGCCCAAGTGCGTAGCTGTATACGTTACTCTTCCGTGTTTTCTGAATATCCTTTTCCTACCATTCCACATGCGGAAATCTCGACCACCTAGTTAGTCGCGTCCAAACATACCAAATGGGTATTCTGCTACTGTTGTCGTATCGACGCCTTTAATTCACCTTACATACTCCTCACTGAAGAGCGGTGGCAATGAGGCCGTGATATTTCGTTATTCTTCCAGGTGTAAGTCGAGCACCTATATTCATTTCTCGTGATGACGGTGTTTTCAACTCATCTAGCTTCTTCTTAATCCTATCTACAAACTATCTTCCGGGCCTATTTTCGGACCTACTTGGCTTTTTGGACACGCATTGCCGCGATACACTACGCTGTTTTACTTAAGAGTTCATTGCTAATCTAGGAAATTCGAAAGCTTGTAAGCTAACTATTCCCTAATCCGATTTGTTTGTCACCGTACAATGGTGTAAAGTATGTAGATGTAGCACAAATGTTGAGTGAACCTTGTGTCACGTACACCGGCCTCCTTGACATGCACGGCCGGCTCGTAGCCTTAAGGACAACATGCCTGCTTTGTAATCCTAAAATCACGAGTTCGAGCCTGCTTAAGAACCGGACGACCGTGACACTATCCTTAGCCCAAGTGCGGCTGGTGGTGGTTACGCGGCAGGGAAGTGTCTTTACTGAATCTCGACGTACTGCTGATGCATGACCGGGTTCTGGATGGCAGCAGAGTAATGGACGCTCTCATTTCGAAGTTGAATTCGACTGTGGAGCTTCTCGAAAACGGTGAACACTCACCGAGCTAGACAATATTTTTGCAGATGTTGCGTCATCTGTCGGGGTGATATCATCAGTTCAGCAGAGGTAACGGTTTGATAGAGTAAACAAAAGGCAATTCTTTTCCTGGACTTCAGTTTGCATATTAACACTGTCATCACCCACAGAGTCTCATCTTCATTGTACATGCGTACACTTGCCGCAGTCGTGCTGGTTAAATCTGACCAAGTCTGGGGTTAGTGTATGTTGTAAGCTTGTTCCTGCGCATCAGTTCTTGCGTTGGTCGTGAGTAATGACACAAAGTAATGCACTCCTAAATAAAATATATTTTCACACCTTCGCAAGCGATCTTGCACTTTAGGTTGACGTTGCGATGCGCCAAGCGGATAGTCTCTGCTGTAATTCGTCCTTTGACTGACAGGATCTTGAATTCCAGAGTGGAAGAATATCTAAAATGTTTCGAAATACTGGTAGCTCGGGTTGATGAATCAATTGTTCATTTGTTCTCCGAGCTTGGCGGTTTTGTCGCAAACGTTTCACCACTATGCGAGGTGGCATCCTCAGTGCAGTGCGATGCGACGTGCAATCTTACTGAATGAATCCTCCATCCGTGATCGACCTGCAGGCTACTTTTGAAAGTGACAGTGTCGATTTACGTCTCGTGACCTTTCCCCAAGGCTAAAGTCGGTACCCGAGTTGTTCTGCCCTAAACCGCGTGACAAAATGTTCTTTATTTCTTTCTGTCCTAGCGGTTCGTATATTGAATCGACGTCCACGCGCAGGTTGATTGAGTGTTTCGTTGAGAACCAAGCTTCCGGGAATTCTCTTTCTTGTTTCACCTCATGTTAGGACTTCTGCTTTGCTCCAGTCGAAGCTATGTCCTTCTTCATCTACATGCAATGATTCTACATGCAATGGTTCGTGTGCCACGATGAGATGATGTTGTTTGAAAAATTTGGCTAACATTTCCGATATGTTCCTCATATAAGGCAGAACAACTCGTTTCTGCGTTGTCCTTGTCGTTGCGGTTGTTGTTGCCGCTGCTGCTGTTGTTGTTGTAGGCTGTATGGTTATGTTGTTGTGATTTAGGCACCTTCGGATGAAGCTTCGTGGGTATCCGTTGAGTTGGAAACAACGTAACCATTCAGCATACAACATCAACAGCAGCAGCGGCAACAACAAGGATAACGCAGAAACGGGTTGTTCTGTCTTATATGAAGAACAAATCGGAAATGGTAGCCAAACTTTTCAAACAGCATTATCTCATCTTGGCACACGAACCAACTGCCACGTTGAGAAAAACCCTTTCAAAACCAAAAGAAAAACTGCAGGCACATGTATAACGCAATGTGGTATACAAAATACCTTGCCGAGATTGCGAAAGGGATTATGTTGGCCAGACGGGAGGAAAACTGGTAGCACGAATACGAGAACATAAAAGAGCCTGTGTAAAGCATTATGCATAGTCGCTAGTTTCATTGCATGTAGATGAAGAAAGACATAGCTTCGATTGGAGCAAAGCAGAAGTCCTGGCACGAAATGAAACAAGAAAAGAAAGAGAATTCCCGGAAGCTTGGTTCTCAACGAAACACTCAATCAACCTGCGCGTGGACATCGATTCAATATACGAACCGCTAGGACAGAAAGAAAGAAAGAACATTTTGTCACGCGGTTTAGGGCAGAACAACTCGGGTACCGACTTTAGCCTTGGGGAAAGTATGGAAAGGTCACGGGACGTAAATCGACACTGTCACTTTCAAAAGTAGCCTGCAGGTCGATCACGGATGGAGGATTCATTCATTAAGATTGCACGTCGCATTGCACTGCACTGAGGGTGCCAACTCGCATGGTGGTGAAACCTTTGCGACAAAACTGCCAAGCTCAGAGAACAGATGAACACATTGGAGGAATATCTACCCGTTGTCTTAAGGATCACGAGCCTGCCTTTTAATCCGTGTTCGAGCCTGTGTAGATGACCGGGCGACCCTCGCAGTATTCTCCGCCTACGTGCGAGTGGTGGTAGTGGTTGCGCGACAGCGAAGCATCGGTACTGTGTACCGGCGTACTGCTGCATCCTCTCTGGGTTCATCATGCGACCAGTCAGCCCATGTCCAATGCACCGTGTTCATTTAGGTTCATCCATTGGGGTTTCCCCGCGTGGGTTCAAATCCAACCTCCGTCGCCAAAAACTGTTGTGTTTCCGCTGATAATGCGGATAACCAATGCAAGCACTCTGGTCACGATACTGCCACCTTTCAAATCGAAAAAACAAAGGCTTCTGGCGGAACTTGTATGGAACACTCGGGAGACAGAATGTGCTACCAAAACATTGGATCAAAATAGATGGTTCATGATAGAAAAGACCTACTTGAAGGTTTCTGATTATAGCAACTACTAGAGGTGCAAAAATTCGTTTGTTGTCTGAGCATGTAGTGTGCTTACTGGAGGGCCTCAAGGTAGGTCATCCTGATTGGTCCACCTCAAGGTAAAATGATGCCATTGGCTTACTTCCCTTGGTTAGCCAATTGGCTACAGGCGGCATACAACCAATCTTCTATGGGCTGCTCCAGACAGAGAGAGAGAGAGAGAGAGAGCTAGTTTCGATGGCTGCTGTGGGCAGGCTCCGGTGACAGGCATTTTCAATGGGCTGGTACCTTTTACTGACCCATCATCGAATTAACACTCTCGGCGTTTCTCCTTTTTATCACCTCATCCTAAATCCCGTTTCGTGCTATTCGCTGAAGACTTTGCGGTCGGGTCGACAAGACCGGCCCTGTGCGTGCGACTGCAATTGGTTGTCAATCTTCGGTTACCGTGGTCTCTGAACCATATACTTTTCTTATTATCCCATTGGTGTTGATGAGGTGCTGCGAAATGCGCACGTCTTTCAGTGTTCATTTTCTCTGTACTAGCCAAATTCCTCGAATCCTTCTAGAAGCTGCTCCCAATTTTTGACTAATACGCTTAAATTTCAGGTCTATTCAGACTACCTCTCGACTAGTTAATCGTTTTTCACTTTCACAGTTCTCTAAAACCTTTACAATCCAATAATCTCGGGTTATTCTTTACTTAGGTTTTAATTCATACTCTTAGGTTCTTCAACGGCGCATCGAAAACCGCTACTTAGAACTCTACACGGATCCAAATTGCATTACTCAGTCCATTGGTCGCGTTGAAGTGCAATCCCTATCCACTGTGCCGATTGAAAAGGACCTGCTGAACGGTAAACGCAAGGGTAAGCACTTGAACGAAGTAGATCATTGTGGTAGTTGAGCCGGAAACGCTTCACATGGTTGGTTGGTTGCCATCAGTTCCGCTTTTTATTTCTCTTTTCGGTATACTTTGTTTTTACAGCTTGCAATGTTGCATTCCACATGTTGCTTCTAGGAAATTGAATTTGGTTTATGTGAACCCAATAGGGATTTATCGACTTTTGATACTTTGTCGCTTGTATGTGCATTTTCCAAACTAAATTTTCCCTTCTTAATCTAAAGATTCTTGCTCATTGATATGCACCCATGTAGTATATATCCGTATCGGCGATCGAAAGAATTACGCGCCTGCGTTGTGATTTGGAGGTCGCCGTTTCGAATTCACGTAAATGCGGGCCACATCGCAGAACACAGCCATCGCGCGACAGCGAAACGTCTGTACGGCGTACTGCTAATTTCTTCTTATATTCTTTATCCTGTGTATCAAGGCTTACCATATTGCTATACAGAAGTAGATGGAAATTGGATGTTGCCCGCCCGAAAACACTACACAACCACGACGCGTTTCGATATAATTTCATCTCATCTGGTGGAAATATCAAGCGTCGAACCCTCGACCATTGGAATAGTAGCCGGATCACAGTTGTCCAACTGAATTGTAGTGGGAACAGCTCCTGCACATTCTTACAGAAAGGTTCTGCACGATGAAGGCGCGGTCATTCCGAAATGGGCGATGCATAACTCCAACCTAAACGAAGTATCTTCTGCGGACCACAAGTAGTTACATACCATGGCGATTCGTGCCCGAGCTCAGTTTGTCATTACGCACTGAAGAGATAGCAAGGCACGGGAATTGGAATCGAACGAAAGTAATGCATGCAAGCGCTACAGTCGTCGAATTCGCAGCTGTAGATAAAAAGCTTAACGTAGGGACCATCTTGTTTTGTTGATTGCGCAATGTCTGTTTGGACACTTTAAACTCCATCCGAAAGCTTTACCCAACTAAGTGCGAGTCAGTTCTACGATCGCTTGGCAGTATGTTTTATCTTTATGACTTTTGTTAGGCAGTAGGTGGGTACCCTTCAATTTCTCATTGTTTTATCTCTCATATGGTGCTGAATATCATCGTCTCCCACGTTGCTTGGGCAACTCCTGCTTTTCCATGCTTTCATGCCTCGAGCTAACCTTGCTGCTTGTATTTCGGTCTTGCTGCCACCATTTCCCATTTGTGGTAAGTGATGTCATCGAACCCCCCTCACTTGGATTCGGCCTAAGTAAACCCTGAACCTTAAGTATATTATGGTCATTCACTTCACGATATCTCCCACACAGTTTTTTGTACTCATTACAAATTTGTTTATCTACTTCTCACCATTTGTTTGTACAACACAGTTTTCTTTGCTTCATCCAACGGTTGGCTTACCCACACACATAGCAAATGTTTCGATTCCTTTTACCCTTGACAACCATCATCTACCTTTGCCAATAGCACTGGATGAAGATGAAGAGTATCCGTTGCCGGATACCTACAGTGAAGATTCCGACCATGGCGAGGAGAGCGATGATGACCCCATCGCCGAGAACGATGAGAGTGGCCATAATCGGCAGAAAAAGCTCGTCAAGGCCATGTCAATGGGAGTAAGTTCCATTGTCATCCGCTCTTAGATGTCGCGTTTCGCGACACTTTTAAGTATACTCTTACCAATTGTCCATACCGGATGGGCAGCATTCACATCAAAGCCGTAACAATTTGCTCCGTTCACAAGGAGCTTGTTTTTCTCATCTGGCTTGCAAACGACTCGGGATCTTTCTGGGAGACTGAATCAGTGCATATTTGGGAGCGACACTGTTTTTCCGCGTTTCTGGGTTTCTATTGTTCGGTAGCATTTTCTTTGTCTACAGTTATCAAACAAACTTCCAACAAACAACCTTCGAGACCGACTTCTGTCCACACAAGCCACCCGCTTATTCTAAATCTCGTCATATCTGTGTACTTGGCCTAACCAATGTGGACGCCTGCTTATGGAATCAACACCATTTGTTCATTAAACTTTTCGAATATCCCCAGAACCGGATTGGGGATGGGGATGTTTCGTTTGTCGGATAGCGAGCGGATTTTGTCAAAGAATCGTGAAATCCATTAGGAATAACTTAGAAAAAGTCCCACAGCACTCTATTGAGACCTAAAGTCATTGGGTACGAACAGGCATCTCAAATGCTGAAATCGGTGCGGCTCCGGCCGAATAATCTTCGTATGGAACTTCCTACCCCAGTAGTTATATCTTCCTAGAACGTATAATGTTTTTGCTTTCGTTAGTTGTTATGTTCTCCATCTACTTCGTAAATCTTTCTCTGTTGCTACGCACACCGTTATGTTATCAATTTAGACGAATGTCGTGTTCAGATTCTCCCCGACTGTTACCTTATTGACAATCCCTTTGGTTGCACCAAAAAGTATGCAACAGAACTGGAAGAAGTTTTCGTTAGCTTTAAATGCATTGAAGTTCCTCCCGTTTACCCTAGAAGGTGTAATGACATGCACTCTTCAGGTCTAAAATATTTTACTCAAAGTAACCGGAAATGATCTCGATTCTAGGCGGGGAGTACGCATCCAATTGAATATTCTGTTTGATGGTTTGATTGTGCGTCATTTCTATGTCTCCTTCGTACTTACTAAAACTTGAGCTCGCCACGCAAATACCGATAGCTCGATACTTCCGCCCTTAAGTAGTTTCAGTATCTCTATTTAGATAAACCTCTCTTCCGCAGAAGTGATGTCTGGATTTTGTCGCAATCGTTCCAAAACAAGGAAGGAGTATCCACACCAGCGGCCAAAAGTGCACAAAAGGAGAGGGGGGTTGTTTACTAAAGAATGGAATTTGGACCAAGTGCTAACCCTTAAGAAAGTCGTGTTCCAAGGGTACGGCTGAACAACGGTGTGAGAGTATGGAAAGTTTAACCTCTGTATAATGACAGTGTTTATACGACATAGTGACAAGACAGTAATCACTGGTGAAACTGAGTGTTAGCCATTGAACTTTTTAATGAGAACCGAGGCTCTTCCAGTTGATCCGTTTGACAACCGATGCGGCAATCTAACTCTCAGTGCTTTCAATATCAAAGCTTTTAGACTAACGTTGATGCGCAGATTGATAACGGCGTGGAAGTGACCGTTTGGTGCCGCTGTGAGCGTGATACTGAATAGGCAATGACGGAGCACAGAAGCAGTATTTTATATAAAAAACGACCAACTTTCTGACAATGTCTTTACCACAATCGTTACAAATGGTTTGGCACACAGGGTCCATTTTGATTGGCCATGTCTATTCAACCCGCAGAAGGAACATTTGGTGTTCAATACAGCAACGGTGACCTTGGTACCTTGGACTAATGGGGCATTTGTCGTTTACATAGGTGCTGATTGACATGCGGTAGATGCACCGTAAGCCTTCTGGTTGATATAACTATGACTGACGACACGCCATCTTCAGGCACCAGGCTTCTTTAAACGCGGCATATTGAACCAGTCGCACGTTTCCCAAGAGATGTTTATATATATATATATATGTATATATATATATATATATATATATATATATATATATATATATATATATATTAATTGTTGGATGTTCGTGAGTAGTGTAAAGTTTGTAGAAAGTAGAAGTCACGATTAAAATTCACGCACAATAATGTGCCTCGACGGGGAATCGAACCTCGGTCCACGAATTTCCGGTCCGCTGCTCTACCACTGAGCTACCGAGGGCTGACGATTAGGTGCGCAAATTTTAATACATGACTTCTGCTTGGTGCGCGACGTATTGCCAATAAGCTCACAGTAGAGCAGCGGACCGGAAATTCGTGGACCGGGGTTCGATTCCCCGTCGAGGCACATTATTGTGCGTGAATTTTAATCGTGACTTCTACTTTCTACAAATATATATATATATATATATATATATATATATATATATATATATATATATATATATATATATATATATATATATATATGGTTGGCTGTGCCCCATGCTGAGGCTGATGTTGCATTCTTGATGTTTCTTCACCGCAGTTGGGCTAAACCAACTTACACTTAAACTAGGTCTTTTTAAGCTGCATAAATTTCATTCCAGTTTATTTGGTTTGTTTTGCCTATCTGGATAGTCTTCTATTAGCTGGCCACGTTGCTTACATTATTTGGACTTATGTTCGGTAACTTTGTTGCGTTTGTAGCATTTTTAACTAACTTGCGGACATTTTTTCCTTATCGCGTATTCGTTGCTAACCAACTTACTTCATATGCTAATTTAGCAAAGTGTTATGCCACCGTATCTGTATGCATTGTTGGATTTGTTTTATTTCATCTTGTCGTTCCAGGTGATTGGCTGTTGCTTGATATCCCCGGTGTGGCTGCGCTTGATGTGCATGTTGACAAGGTGCCTACCTGTCTATTACCCACTACCTCGTCCATACTGGCTCCAGCAGACAGTTGGTCGTTGCTGGAGGGGACAGGGTGCACGGTCCTTGTGACCGTGTTAGGATCAAAGAGTGGTTCCATGCAGTCAGTGTGGAGCGGACTACGGTCCAGCCACCGCCTTGTGTGCGGTTGATTCCCCAAATACCGCGTGCTTGTGTTTGCCTGTGAAGGAGTGTGGGCCGGCTCCGTTGATGAAACGTGGTTCCCATCCGCATGCCTCCCGGTCTTATTCCTTCGGGTTTACACTGGATATGGGGTGTGTGGTTGGAGCTGTGGGTGGTGCAGCGCAAGCCATCCATGGTCCCTCTGTAGGCGCAGGCGTCCTGTGGCTTGCCACAGTGACATTCAAATCCGAAACCGGATGCCGCCAACCAGATATATATATATATATATATATATATATATATATATATATTGCAACAGTCTATGAATAGACATTGCACCATCGGAAACCATGGAACTCAAAACAAGGTACAGAAATAGTAAAAGAAAACACAACACAACACAACAATGTCCACGGTTTCGTCAGAGGGCGAAATACTACCCGGTTGCCCAAGCCGAAGTAGGGTGTTGACTTAGGGGACACCACCCTGAGCCTTTGGCTGAATAGCCTGTCCGCAAGGCAGCGGAGCGAATTCAGGGAATCGCGCCCATTGGGAGCCGGTGACTGATTGCTCAGTTCATACGCCTTTCGTTTGTTCCTTTGCCAAACAGGGGCCAATGCTCCCCAAAATTACAGCATCAACTGGCTGGAATACAATGCTTCGCCAGGATGAAGCAAGGGGCAGAGACTTTATTTATTGGCGAGTCACGTCCGCCACGTCACACTGTTGTTAAACGGACATATGTGGCTTTTTATAGGGAGAACGCTTGCCAGGCGAAAACCCACCACGTCCTGGAACACTGCCGCCGAACCATTTGCTGGAACGGGAAAATCCCGAACCACCCAGCTGGCACCATGAGGAGGTTGCTCGGCACCTTGTCAACATGCACATCAAGCGCAGCCACACCGGGGATATCAAACAACAGACAGTGACTTGAGAGTGAGAGAGATATACAAAGAAAATAACTCGGTTAATGCATAAGGAAACGGTGACATAAAACTTAATTTAATGAGCATATGAAGTAAGTTGTTTACAAACGAATCCTAGATAAGTTCACGTGGTCAGAAAGTATACTTTTCGGAAATGCCACGAACACATGAATGTTATGGAAGTCGAATACAATTGGCTTAAGCGAGCTGTGCAAGTTAATGGAATAGAGTACAAGTAGACATTTATATGAGAAAGAAAAGCATTTAGGCAAAATTGAAACCCCAACACCTGAAATAAAGAGACTTAGCATGCAAGCACGCGGTTAATAAATCGAATTCAGCGTGCCTACAAACGCTGCGCCGGTTCTGCCTACGTTCTCTGCAGTACCCGTCGTCGCTTCGGCAGTGGTCCCGAGTGACCTCTCTCATGGCTCACTAAGCCTGCGTGACTAAGGCACTCGCGACCGCATGTTCTACAGCATTATGCGCTTGATGTCGATGGAGTACAATCCATCGGTTCTTGCCGCTTCTTCTCTGCATGCACGAGGGCTTTCTCCTGCACCTCGGCAACTGCCTTCGTGATTAGATCGCGCCATGCACCACGATCAACCGCCTTCGATTCCCATGATCTGCAATCAAGATTAGAACGTGTGAGGCTCACTTTAATCATGTCATGGTATAGTAACTTTGGTTTCCCCACGTGCCGCTTCCCTATACACAGCTGACCGTATAAAAGTTGTTTCGGTATTCGCGTCGAATCCATACGGCTCACATGACCGAGCCATCTCAGGTGTCGCAGTAAAAGTATGCAGTCCACTGCATACATCCCACTTCGGCGCAACACTTCCGTGTCTGCAACTCTGGCGCCCCAACCGATCCGCAAAATTCGTCGCAGACACTGCTGATGGAACCGCTCGAGATATCGTACATCCCGACGGTACATCGTCTACGTTTCACTGCCGTATAGAAGAACGGACAGTACCATGGACTTGTACACCATCAACTTTATGCCAATGGTAAACTGATGGTTGTTCCACACTCGGTATTCTACCTTCCCGAACGCCGCTGCCGCCTTTGACACGCGAATACGCAACTCAACGTGTAGCTGCTGGTCAGTCGATATCACAC